CCTGGCCGCGGCGTTGCCCCTCGGCTGCCCCGCCGCCTCTCCCGCCCGGGCAGGTGCGATCGGGGCGGGCGAGGCGAGGGCCGGGCCCTCGGCGGGTGAGCGCTCGGCGGGACCGACCTGCCGGAGCCTCCCGGTGAAGTGCGGTCAGAATCCCTCTGGACTGTGCTTTACTTCCTTAAAAAAGTAACTGTCATGGAAATTCTTTCCTTTGTGGGCTTGTTTGGGCTTTTGTAGTATCATCCTCTGTGAAATCCCATCCCTGCGGAGTTACAGCTGAGCTCCACTCCTTGCTCCAGAAACATTTCTGTGCTGGTGGGATTGTCCTTCTAAGAGAAAATAAAATTTCTACAGCCTTTACTGGCCGGATACGGTATGACTGGTAGTTGAGTGGAGAAACGTCGTCTGGAGTATTTCTGCTTGAAGTACTTTTGCAGGCTGCGGTTTGGAGAGCAGCGAGTGTCACTGTGATGTACAACTAAAAACCAATAACCCGTTCCTGTAACTTGCATTCATTACTGAATAGGAAAACTTGAAAGGATTTGTCCCCTTAGTAGTCCAGAATAGGACTTGCAGTGCAGCAAATATATTGTTGTATACTTGGCTCTCAGGTTCTGAAGTAGTAAGTGCCGCCAGAGGCCTGTAGGATGGAGGTAGCTGGTTCTCTAAAAGGATGGTTGCTATCTGTTGTTTCAGCGAATACTGCTGACTGTCAGCCCTGCTTTTACAGAGGTGCAGATAAGTAGTAGTCGTGACTTGTGCCCTATGGTGCTCCCGGAGGGAACAGACCTTTGAGGCGACCTAATTCCTTCCAGTTCAGTTGGCATCGCCGGGCTGCGGGGCGGCCTCTGGACTGGGTTACAGCCATCCGAGTACAAAGGCTGGCCACGGGACTGAGTCTTCCTTCTCTTGCAAGTGTGACAAATTAACAGGGTGGAGATGAACTCGTGAGTTAAATGTCATCTGCGCTTTTTAACTTTATTTTTAGTGGGGAAAAAAAAAAATGCGCCTAACAAAAATAGTAATATTTTAATTTTAAATATGTTGGTTTTGAAAATTTGAAAGCATAAGCCAATGTCTTGCAGGACTTGTTTAAATATAATAAATCTACTAACACACAGCTGAACTTTTAAATGTACGGTTTCATAATTGCAAAAGAAAGATCTCAGAGTTGTTGAGGTGGGAGAGTAAATATCAGAATTATCAGAGCAAAAGTTCCAAACCTTCGTGATGTTGTTTTTAACAGCATAGAAATGAAGATTTAGCTTGACAGCATTATTAGTGGATGTGTTTTTAATGTGTCTCAGTTAATAAACTATTTAGTGAAGGCACAGTTATGTCTTTGACTGTTAAACTATAAAGGCATTAATGCAAACATAAAGGCAGTAAACTTTCCTGCGAGGCTGAATAGCTTTCTGAATTGAAACCATGTCAGTATTAGTTTGCAGAAATTCTAAGTAGAACTAATTTCCCCACCCCCATTATTTCTAGTCAGAGGGGACATTCCTCTATAATCTGCACTAAGTACTGCGTCCTTCAGCCTCCGGCATTGCCATGTGCCTTTGTTTTGATAATGGGTCAGTATTTTGACCCATTAACAATAATGTTCTCATAAGGAAGGCAAAATAGTGCTTCCTTGTGTCTGGTCTGCCAGGGTGGAGAAGGCTTTGTGACCCAATCTAACCTTTGTATTTTTGTGGTATTTGATAACACCGGTCTGAGGAAAAATTTCAGGTTTTAGAAATTTTGACAGTCTTACGAGTGATGTGGCAAAGTTGAGCAGGGACTAGGTTTTTATCAGTACAAAATGTGAAAGCATGCGATTAAGCTGGCAGGTTGAAAATGAACAAAAGGGGTGTGTTTTTGGTTTTGACTCAATGTGTGGTTAGTTAAGCTTTGGAAATCCTTTCTGAAGCATGTGGATATTGAAAGTTTACAGGGACTTGAAAAGCAGCCGGACAAATTAATGGGAGAAAAACCCACTAAGGCTGACTTGTGCAGAGTACCTCAAGTAGCTCAGGGAGTCACCAAGCTGAGCACAGAGCTGGGACAATAGACTGGGAAAGTACCATCCATTATTTATCAAATTTTTATATTAATTTCAGGCATTGACATAGTGCAGACAACAGACATGCCATCTGACCCAGTAGGGCTGCTCTTAGGAAAATTGTTCAACTGAAGTAAGTTTTTGAGAAAGCTGAACCAAAGGGACCAGGTCTAGAGATAACAACTTTAGGTGATAATTCTCAGGAAATGATTATGAGTCACCATCAACCATCAGTTTAAGTGGTGCTGGGAGCAGTTCTGGCACCTTTGTACTTGTTGACATTGATGTCTTTGATGAACAGCATTAGCGCACAATCTGAAGGAGACTGAGTAGGGCTTTCAGACTATGTTTTTGATGCTCTCCTTTGGAGGACAAGAAGTTTCTGATAAGTTCGAAGACAGTATTTGAGTACAAGATACTATTTTCAGGAGGAAGATCCCATAATGCAGATGGGTAAAGTCAACTTGGCAGCGGCACCATGGAAGCAGATCTGAGGGTTATGTGGGATCACAGGAAAGCACAGGGATCTTCAGCTACTGTTGAAGTTCAGCATTTAGCTTTTCGTACTAGTGCAACAAATTAACAGAATAATGTGTCCAGTTTTGGCCACAGCCTGTTAAGAAAGATAAATTCAATTATTTCAATCTACCAAAAATGGTTGCCAGGGCTTAGGAAAGTTTTGGAAAATATATCTGCCAAGAATGTGTGTGTTTGGAAAGTGTGTTCCACAAAGCTAGACTAGCTAATTTCCTGCAGAAAGAGATGAGATGAGGGGACAAGGAAATGCTAGAGTATTAAAATTATTAAGAGGTGGTCTGTGTTCTTCTGTCAGTCAGTGTACAGAAAAAGATGAAACTAGTTTGCAGTGAAGACTTGATGAAGTTCTTAAAATCTGTTATGCCTTGGGGAAAGCTGAAAGAAACTAAAACTGTGCAGTCTCATTTCTGTGAAGGTTTTTGAAAGTCAAATAGCATTTGTGTTAAGGATGTATTAAAAACATTCCTCAACACTCTTTTACTGTTTTCTTATGCAGGGGCTTGAGCTTTATGATTTTTTCAGGTGCTGTCTGTATTTGGTCTTGAGTTTACATGGAAAAGGTAATTCCAGTCCTCAAAAGATGAACAGTTTCTCTTTCAGTTGCTGGTCATCTCATGTTACAGCTTATGGCATTTGGTTTTAAAATAATTAGTGTTGAGGCAAACTACTGCATTTGACAGCAAAATGTTGTGGTTTAGGAGTATAGCCTGTAATACTGTAGGAAATGTAGATGTACAACCATGTTGTGATTTAAACCAGGAAAATCAGAGGGATAAAACCTGAGGTATTCATCTGCTCTAGAATATACTGTGTGTGGCTTTGTAACTTGTGTCTCAGTGTTATAGCATCTTTGGGTCTGAAACATTTTTTAAAAGGACTTTCTAAAGTCCTAATTTAAAAATAAATTGCCAAATATCATATGTTTCTCATTTTGTATTCACTTTTTAAAGTATGTATAGGCATTTTAAAATGGCAACATTTTGACATAGCTATTTAAGTTTCTACTTTGATATTTCTTGGAATGGCTGACTGCCTTAGGCTTGTAGTAAATACTACTAGTGACAGTGACTTGTTTTTCTGAAATATTGATAGATACTATATCAATATAAAGAACACATAAAACTGTAGTTTTTGAACTGATGGTTGTGAATGAATCTTCCCCTCCCCCCAAAACCCAACAAAACCAGCCGTTTTGCAAAGCTGAATGAGAAGCATCAGCTGCCTTTCATGGTTTTCACTAAGGCTCTGATGTCAAGAAAAGGGCAGATAAATCTGTGGGCACTTCAGTCTCTGGTGGAATGATTTCTGTAAGCAATGACCATATAAATTTAATATATGTATTTTATTTGGGAAAGCGTGCTAA